GAGATAAAATTATTTAAATTAATTTGCTTTAGATTTAAATTTTTATTTTATTTTATATTAAATCTTTTCTGTATATTACAAGGGTTTATAGCTTAATAATTATAAAAGTTTATTATATATTTATTTTATTTTAAAATTATATTTAAAAATTTTATAAGTTTATTCCTGTGCATTATTACACGGGTTTACAACTAGTCTAATAATAAAAATTGCTACACATTTCATATATATTTGTTGTTTTTCTAATTTGCTACATTGCAATAGCAACTTCTAAAAATGGAAGTGATAAACAATATCAATTATTTGAAGGAGTAGCCAAATCTTTAGATTTTTTCAAAAATTTTGTAAAAAAACATTGACAGGATAAAAATGAATGCAGAATAACCAAAGTTTTTAGAGAAGATAGTGAAAAACTCATTTGTTGTTCACCTAGAAAGCAAGAGCACCAAAACAACTTTATTGACGAACAAAAACTAAAATGCTATCAAAATTTTCAACACAAGGATGCTTCCAACTTGCTAGTTATCTTGTGTATGAACGCTTTTGACTTGCATGCCAAAAGTAAATAAGAAGTCCTCCAAATAAAAAAGGTTAACTTTAAATGTTTTACTTACAAACTATTGCATAAAAGGTGTCTGCTTCTTCTACTATCTCTAACAAAATTTTTGTTTTTCATTAGCCAGAAAATTTGGTACAAATAATCGTCGAAAAGAGTTGATACTCAAATTTTGGTATAAGTAATTGTTAAAAAGAGTTATTAATATTTAATATATTTTTCTTTTTTTTTAATTTTGGTTTATTATTTAAATATATAGTAATTTTTTTTTTTTTTTTTTTAAAATTTGTTTTTTTTATATTTTTTTTTGTTAAAAATTGGTTTTGTTTTTTTTTTTGCATTTTTTGTATAAAAGAAAACTATTATTCTTACTAATAGGAAGCTAGATAAAAAAGATTTTAAATAGAATAACTAAGTATCTTTAATAGACTTTTAAATAAAAGTTATACTTTATATAAAACTTATTAGCTAATATTAGTATGATAATTATACTTGACCATTCTAGAAGTAGCTGAATATCTGTCTAATATATAGTTAGTTTTTGTTATTATATCAAATAAATTCTAATAAATTAGTAAAATTTATTAAAAAAATAAATAAATAAATAGGCTGCTATTAATAGAAATAAGAAAAATTGATATTTTTAAAAAAATCAATACCTTAACTTTCACAGCCAATATCTCGGTGAATTTTAAGGCAGTCTTAATGATTTATTATTCAAAAAAAAGCATAAGATCTAAGCTTTTTTTTGAATATTAAATTATCAACATAGCCTTAAAAAACATTGAGATATAAGATGTGAAAGTTAAGGCATTAATTTTTTTTAAAATATCAATTTGCCTTATTTCTATTGACGGCAGCCCAAATAGTTATAGTATAGTTGCTATTCAAACTATTTGAAATAGCTCAAACCATGTGATAGTTAGCATTATATATAGTTAAAACTAGATTAAACCTATGTGTAATACTAATTATTACATGGTTTGGGCCATTCCAAACAGTTTAAATAGCAATTATATAAAAGTTAAAATTTAAATTAGCTCAATTTTATGTTTTTTTAAAACTTTAAGCAAGGATAACTTAATAAAAACTTAATCAAATTTAATAAAACTTTTTTTTAATTAATTTTATGAATTTGTAAAAAAAGTTATATTAAATTTGATAAGTTTTTGTTAAGTTATTCTTGTTTAAAGTTATAAAAAAATTTTATTATTGACTCACCCCTATATATAATAATTCTATATACCCACCTATACTAAAAAAGATCCAAAATTTATTTTTTAAAATTAGTTAATCAAATTATATAGAATACAATATACAAACATATCGCATCTATCGAAGCATATTAAACTTTTTAAATAAAAAATAATAACTTTGCGTGGTTGTAGGCCCAATATCACGAAAAATAGTGATTCTGTAGTATTGAATGTCAAAGTTTATTCAACAATGTATTAGCTAATTCTAAAAAAAAAGTCAAAAAATTAAAAAATCGGGCTAAATATGTACATACATATTTGTTAAAATATAATGATAACGATGGTACGAACGTTACACGAATTGAAAGTTCAATAATATCATAACACGTGTGTGCACATTGTGCACATAGAATCATAGATTTCATTCACTGGTGATCAGTTAATCTAAATTTATACATTCATAAGGCTTTAACGGTAAAACTGGCCAATTTTTTTTTCGAAATCTTCAGTTAATATCAATCAGGGGTAAATAATAGATATAAACAGTAAACGGGGTGAGTCGAGATGACATTCAAAGTATAAGTGTTAATCAACGAAAATTTTCCTTTTTCGTTGTTACCTCAAGGTTACAATTCTTTGAACTATAAAAATTTATTTATTTTTTACGGAATCAGGTGAGTGAATAATTTAGAAACTTAGCAAAGATTGGTAGAATGAACGGAAAAAAGGCTTCAACTATTGCAACAAATGGAAAAATTCCTGCTCCAAAAAGTGGAAACAAAAGCAAAGTTAAACAGGAGCCGGATGTCTCAATGGAAGACGCAGAGTCTACAGGATCCGAAAGTGATGTACCTCTTGCCCACAGGAGGAAGGCAAAAAGGAAAAGGGTCGACTCCAGCGACTCGGAATATGACGACAAGAATACAGTAACAAAGAACGGTTCCAAAAAATCAATTAAAAAGGAGGATATTGAAATGAAAGTACCCGTATCTGATGAAGACATTCCAATTGTTAAAAGGAAAGGCAAGACAAATGGGAAAAAGACGACTATAATTAAAAAAGAGTCTGAAGATTCCGATAGTGATGTCCCATTGGCCAAACTAAAGTCTGGAAAAGGCAAAGCTGCGGAAAACAAGGCAAAAACAGGCACCGACAAAGAAGCTGAAGTTAAGCTAGATAAAAAATTACAAGTAAAGGTATATAACCGGCAATAAAATACGTATAATATCAAACTGTAACATTATATATATTTAGTCATTTGAAATTTAACATAAACTTTCACATCGTAACATTTAAAGGCCAAGAGAAAACGAAATGATTCAGACTCCGAAGCTGACAATAAAAAACAAACTGCTAAGACCGCTTCCAAAAATGTAGCAAATACCAAAAAATCCGACACGCAACGCAAAAAGAAAAAGGAAGATTCACCAGATGAGAGTATGTCTGCAAAGAAACGAGGGAAACAAAAAGTGAAGGAAGAAGATTCTGATAATGAGGAAGACGATGAATTTAAATGGTGGACCCAACAGAACGACAATAATGACGGAACCGATAAATGGACTACATTGGAACACAACGGCGTATACTTCCCACCACCATATGTTCCACATAAAGTTAAAATGAAATATGATGGTAAGTAATGTGTATAGCATATTTAAACATTCATAATAATTTCTTCAAAGTAGTCAAGAATCTTTTATTGATTTTACTAATAAATAGGCAAAGAGGTTACTCTGGAACCTGAAGCTGAGGAAGTCGCCAGCTTTTATGCTGCTATGTTGGGTACCGATTATGTCACTAATGAGACATTTAATAAAAATTTCTTTAAGGACTGGGTTAAAGTCTTAAAGAAATCTAAAAATGTAGATAATAATTTTTTTCTTTTTCCTTTTTCATTAGCATGAGTTTATGATATTAATATATATATGTATATTCAGAATCCCCCAATCAGAGATTTTGAAAAATGTGATTTCACTCCAATTTATGAATATTTCGAACAGGAAAAGGAACGAAAAAAGAATATGTCTAAGGAAGAAAAGGCAAAATTAAAGGAAGAAAAAATCAAATTGGAAGAAAAGTATGGGTTTTGCTTCTTAGATGGACGTAAAGAGAAAGTCGGTAATTTCCGCATTGAACCTCCTGGTTTATTCAGAGGGCGAGGTGCGCATCCCAAAACTGGATCTTTGAAAGTAAGGAGGATGTACATTTTTGCATTTTGCATCTAATTAAGATTTTTTACTATGTTAATTTTCATATGAAATGTTAGTTACGAGTTCAGCCCGAACAGGTAACAATTAATATTGGTAAAGGTACCAAAATTCCATCACCACCGCAGGGTCATAAATGGGCAGGTGTCATCCATGATCCCACAGTTACTTGGTTAGCTACCTGGAAGGAGAATGTCAATGATAACATTAAATATGTTTTCTTGGCTGCTAATAGCTCTTTGAAGGGTTTAAGCGACATGAAAAAATTTGACAAGGCGCGCGAGTTAAAAGTAAGCAAAAATTTTTTATGTTTTACATTTATCATATTTATTATTAATTAAATTTTGGCATTCTGTGTCAATTTTATCATTTTACATGTAGAAACATATCGCTAAAATCCGGAACGATTATCAAACAAATCTACGACATAAGAACACAGCCACACGCCAAATGGCTACAGCTATGTATCTGATTGATCGTTTGGCTCTCAGAGCTGGTAATGAGAAAGATACGAATGAAGAAGCCGATACCGTTGGTTGCTGTTCCCTTCGTCCTGAACACGTAAAGCTTATCCCTCCAAACACAGTTACATTTGATTTCTTGGGTAAAGATTCTATTAGATATATCAACACAGTAGAAGTTGAAGACCAAGTTTTTAGAAATCTTGCAATCTTTATGAAAGGAAAGGATGAACCAGATGACTTAATATTTGATCGAATAAATGTGAGTTGGATTTATTTAAATTTTAATAAGATTATACTTTATTTACTTGTGGCTTATAATCCATAAATTTTATTTATTAGACTCAGGAATTAAATAAGCATTTGTCTTCATATATGAAAGGACTTACAGCCAAAGTGTTTCGTACTTATAATGCGTCGTACACTTTTCAAAAGCAGTTAAAAGAATTAACTAAAGGGGATAACTCGATAGCCGAAAAAACATTTGCTTATAATCAAGCAAATCGTCAAGTAGCTATTCTTTGCAATCATCAACGGTCTGTTAGTAAAGCTCATGGAAACCAAATGAGCAAGATTGAAGATAAGGTAAAATTTAATACCAAATTTCTATAATTATTTTAATAAATAATAATGTTTTTACTTGTTGAAATAGATAAAAGCTCTTAAATATCAACGTATGAAACTTAAAAAATCCATATTAACTTTGGAGCCGAGGTTAAAGAAGAAACGATCCGACCTTCTCGAGGAAGAATCTGATCTTGATGAAGAATGGATAATTGAATATGAAAAACAATTGATGGAAAAAGAACGTGAAAAAGTTCGTAAGAAATTCGAAAAAGACAATGAAAAGTTAAAAGAAGAAAAGCAAAAGCCAAAGTCTGAGAAAGAATTGAAATCTTTGCTTCAAGAAATTGATCAAAAGGAGAAAGAACTTCAAAAAGAACGCACTTCTGGTAGAGTTGACCCAAAAAAAGGCTTAACTGTGGATAAAGCAGATGAAAAAATCCAAACTTTGACTGCGAAAATCAAAGAGACAAAACTTTTAAAGGATGACAAAGAATCAAATAAGACTACGGCATTAGGTACTTCTAAGATTAATTACATTGACCCTCGTATCTCTGCTGCTTGGTGTTTAAAGTATAAAGTGCCTTATGAAAAGATTTTCAATAAGAGTTTGCGTGACAAATTCAAGTGGGCTATGGACGTAGTTGATGCGGATTGGGTATGCAAATTGATTTATTAACATGAAATTTTGCAATCTTACTAGTCCATTGATATATACTGAATTCTTTTTTTTTTTTTTGTTAATTTGCACAGGAATTTTAATTATTTGTATCCGTTTAATGTTAGGGATAAAGACAATAGATTTCATTTAGATTGCCCTATATTTACTAAATAGTATTCGTTTTCGGAGAACTATAGATGACTTTGTAATAATAACGTCCCACGTTCATACTTATCTGCTGTTGTTTTTTGGGTACTTGAACGTGATTGATTGATTATATTACACAAAATTTTTTATTCAATTTTCTTTTACGGTTGTTCAATTTTATAGGATGGTATATTAATCAAAACGGGCCCTATCAAATTGGTAAACTTTACTTCGTATCATTTGGCTCACAATAAAATTATTTTACATGTTCCCGCGAGGGTTCAAAGTATCGTTCAAATTTTGATACTAGCAGTTTTATCGGCCGCTTATCGCTACTTAATAAATCATTGTTACATGATCTTTTAAACTTCTGAGATCTCTGTTTCACAAGTTTTTATCAGAAGTGATCTCTTTTTTTTGAGCAAGTTATGAGAAAGATGATAAATGATAATCAAAAAAATGATATAGCAGAAATAATACAGATTGAACTTTAATTTTAACCAATCGGAGTACTTACCAATTAGCCAACGCGAATAGTTACCGTTATCGTTATATGTTTTATATAGTATATATATGGGCAGGGTACTACATAAAAGAGGAAAATTGACAAATTTTCATTTTTATACAAATCAATTTAGAATAAGACTAGAATCGTTTTTTATTTAATTTAAAACACAAAAGCAGTTGTATTAATGAAATTTGTAATATAGCTCTTAGTAGAAACCAGGCAAATTGTTTTTAAGTAAATTTTTTTTAGACTTTAAATTAAAATATCTCAACAACTATTAAACCAAACTTGATAAAAAAATTTTTATTTTAGCTATAGAATTAAAACAAAAAAAAATTTATTAAGCTTGGTTTAATAGTTGTTGAGATATTTTAATTTAAAGTTTTAAAAAAACTTACTAAAAACAATTTGCCTGGTTTTTACTAAAACCCCCATATCTTTGACCCAAAACTATACTCAATCATATAATTTTAATTAGGTTAGATTACATGATGTTGAGTAAGAGTTACTGTAGTACTATAAGTAAAATTGTCTTTTTGATATTTTTAGATAGCAGTTTCTTGTGTTTTTTATATTTTTTATCTGTAATAATTGTTTTTATACTACTTTTGTACTGCTTAAAATGGCTATTATGTGATTTGTTTGTTTTTTAATTAGCTATTAGACATAAAATATTATTATTAAACATTTCTAAATAGAAATACAACAAAAGAAAATATTAAATATTATAATAATTTGCCAATCAATTTATATATAAGCTTCAAAAAAATAGAAAGTTTAAAGTAAAGCAAATTTGAACTTATAATAAATTTGATTTTCAGATAAACAAATAACTCTTCTCGATGATCACTTGTATCAAATTTTTCTACCAAACAAAAACAAAAATTTTGTTGGAGAAGAAGAAGGCACTATGAAGGCAGTTTTTGTAAAAGTCAACTGCATTACTCGGGAACTCCTTTATATATTTAGTATACAAAACAACTAGCAGGTGGTGCTCTTGTATACAAAATTTTGGAGAAAGTGGTACTTTGAAAAAAGTGAGGCCATGTTATTGACGAAGTCAAGCATAGGCAACATAATAGAAGGAAAACAACAAATGAGTTTTTAAAACACTCTTTTAGAAAATTTGAAATATCTAACTTCAAAACTATTTTATTATATTCCTATTAGGTTTTTTTGATATTTGTTTTGAAATTTTTTCTAAAATATGGAAACTTTGGTGTATCCCTTTACAAAGGATCAACATTGCTTACATAACCAAATTGGGAATGGTGAGTTATGAAAAAGTCATGTTCTACATATGTGAATTACGATAAATAACACGTAGCAGATTTGTAGTGTAAATAACAAAAATTTCATATTTCTCACAAAGCAAAAACTATTTTAATATAGAAGTAAAGTAAAGGTAGAGATTGTTTTACAGAATATTAAATAATTTTTTATTGCCATATATGGATGCAATAATCAGAAGTTCGTTCTTTAAAAATAGTGCATTTATGTCTTTTTTTTTTCTTTTTGCTTTTTTCTTTTTTTTTATCTTTTTTGTTCTATTTCTTCTTTTGTATTTGGATTACCTTTTTTTTCACTTTTTTTTTTTAGTTTAGTTTTTTTTATACTTGTTATTCTTTAGACAAGGATTATAGAATCCTCTTGCTTGAATATTAAGAAGAGGAGGGTCTTAAAAAAATTAGCAGTTATAACACGCCTGTAGATACTATTTAATGATCTATTTGTTTTCTTCAGTAGTAGAAGAGATAAGTAGAGAGATAAATTTTTACTATAGCAGTCAAATATAAATACATATTTGATGCAACCAGGTTAGTCAAAACTTGTAAATTAGGTAACCAAAGCAATTGTTTTAGTAAAATTAGTTGATAGTGTAGTTTGTTAATTTATGCCTAATAAAGTTTTGGCATAATTGCCGAATTTAAAAAAAAAATAAATAAATAAATTTGATTTTAAAATAAATATTTTATAGATAAGATTTAGGCTTTTGTACTACTGTATTATCCCTTAAACTGTCAGTTTTAGCGGCCAATTATGGCTGCTAAAAACAAATAAAAAAAATTTCTATAAAAAAAATTTTTTTTATATAAATATTTAATTGAAGTAAGTAACTATGGTCTCTAGAACCTAAAGTCACACAGGCATATTTTAAAACTGCAGTGTAACATATAATATAGGGCCAAAAAAAGAACACAAACTCGGGGCAAATTGAATATTTTACACTGCAGCAGAGAAATTTTTTAGATAATCTGGATTTTTGAGCCACCAAGGCTAACCAGACCCCAATTATATAGTACGTTTTATAGCTTATCATGTGCCAAATTTGGTATTTGTTTATTGCGTCAGGTTAATACTAGTCATATGTTCATTGATCAACTATATTTTAGTGTGATTGGATTTTGATCTCGCTAAAATATGCTAAATTATCGATTGTATTTGATAATAAACTCGATCACATAGACATGTCACACAAAAAATTTACCCTTCCTTTATTTAAAAAATTTATTTAAAAGATTTATTTAAAAAATTTATTTAATAAGATTTATTTAAAAAATTTATTTAAAATTGTACGTTGTATTTAAAATACAAATGACCTTGTATTATTTGCAAGTATGAAAAGATAGGAAACAGTTTCGGTTATTATTACAGCAAAGAGGCACTTCACATGCTATACACCAATAACTACTTTTATGTGGACTTTTGCGATCCATGACTATTTCATTTTCATATACCAGCCAAGTGCACCATCGGCATGCTTCCCGTGCATCTCTCCACTCCACAAAGTGGTTCTCGGGTACTAGACACTGGTCTGAGAGCTTAAAATTTTTTGTCACTTTTGGTCTTTTTATTTCTTTTTTGAATCCTATTGCATCCTCTGACTTTTTTAAGCTATTTCTAAGTTGAATTTCACCAGTGTCATTTGCAAAGTTAATTAGGTCCCATACTAGCTCGAAACAAAAATCTTTATGCTCTTGTGTTGAACCTAAAGTTCGAACAATTCAATATGCATTAACAATCGAAGTATCTAGAAGCCAAAAAAAAAGTGGCATCCAATTTCTTCATGTTACTTGCTGCGTACTGTAGTATGACCGTAGCTGATCCGCAACGTCCACCCCATTCATGCAATTATTGTAATCATCTATTATTTTTGGAATTTTTAATTTTTTTTTTGATTCTAACCCAAATACAGCACGCATTTTCACTGCATTTGTGCTTGTTTCTCTTGGCCGCCGCCTAATTCGTTTTATCTCCCATTCGTCACCAACTAATCTATGAATTGTTGACAACATAGTAACAGGCCCGTTATCTTGCCAAAGAATAGCTAATACACCGTTTACTACAACACCAGAGCGAACATCCCACTCAAGTTTGATACTTTTATCCACTTTCAATTCTTTTGGAAAACCCGAGGCAGTTTTCCAGACAGTTCCACAAGTACCAATGCCGATTTGCCAAAGATATTGAAAAAGAGGAACATTATTAAAATAGTTGTCCAGGTAAATGTTAAAAGAAAATCGATGGTAGGGAAGTTGTTCAACAAGATGATAGACCTGATATCCAATTTGGTTAAGGCCACTCACTTTTGTTATATCACACGAGGAGACGCGCGATGTTGGCAGAAAGGTGTAGGTATACCCAGATTCACAAAGAGAAAATATTTTGAAGCCTTTGGGGGTTGGTTTGTTTTTAATTCGAAAGGTATGAACGCTTCTTCCAGAAAATCGAACGATCATCTTATCAACTGAAACGTTCGAATTAGGTATGTAAAGCTGCTTCAAAACGTCTCGGACATGTAAAAGCAATGGCTCTAATTTATCAAAGTAATTTTTAATTGTTTCACCAGGGGGAAAACATGCAGAAACCTCTTAATTACTTCGAAGCGTTTTAATTTCATTTGTTTTGAAATCTGGTGAATAGGGTATTTTCCATCTTCATTTCAGTATTGGTTGAGTGAGGGTAATTTAAAAAGCCCTTGATAAATAACCAAGGTAATCCATATGATAAGTTCTTTGCGACTTAAGTCCAGCCACTGCCTACCAGTGATGCCAGCCCCTTTCACTAATACGTAAAGATTTGTACTTTCAACGATCGTATCCAATATGGTTAGTTTAAAAAAAAGAAAAAAAAAATCGATTGGTTTGGAGATAGCGATATCAAGGTGTGGTGGAAAACGAATGAATGCCTAGTGTAATGAGGGATGAGCAAGGGGCTCAAAATTGGTGGGTAGTGGTGGCAATCTTGACACTATAGTTGCTTTTGATTTTTTTTTTTTTTTGGCTGCACTTCTTGTGTCTACTTCTAATACTTCATCTTCATCCTCATACTCATCATCCGATTCTAGATTGTTTAAAAGATGCCAACGAAATGTCAAGATTGGTACATATTCATCATCGTCAGTATATGCATCTGAAGCTCCAAGAGAAAAGGACATAACAAAAT